TTTCTCCAATTTTCCATTGTCCAATTTAGTGAGCATGTGTAACCTGTGTCATGAAATCAATATCCTTTTTTGCTGTGAAAGTGAAAATTATTTTTTATAGTTCAAAGGGCAAAAAAATACATTAAAAAAGCTTTTTAACCAAAGCAAACGAGAAGCATTCAAAAAGGTCCAGGATTCCACTTAAAAATCAAAACGCTGAAACCTTGAAGGGACTGAATTTAATCACACGTTTTTTAATTTGTCAGGAACTTCACTGGTTTGCATAGGAATATTCTGAGAGGCAGTAATACAATCCAATAAAACTTCAATTTACCCAAATCCACCTTGTAGCCACACCTTGCTTGACAGTTTTGTGTCACTCAAGTTGAACCTGCGTTTCTAAACCAGGAATAACAGATCTTGCTTAGATGAGCTCAGCTAGGTGGAGTCTGATTTATGGATTCCCAGAATTTTATGATGATACCTCTTTTCTAAGGTGTGTTAGACTTGACAGAAGGGACACAGGAAGTTATCTTCAAAACAGGAAAAAACTTGTGAAGAGTTTCCTTGGTGTTTGGTAGGGGGTGGAAAGTTATTTTTCAGCAGCAGCTTTTCATCCTCTTGATTTCAGCAACAGGGATGCTGGTCAGAGATTCGGAGCCCTGATGTGACGATAAGTAGCCAGTCAGCGAGAGCAAGCGTATTTGTACCCAGGGCAAAGGCAGCAAAATACCACATTAAAAATGTTGATATAATGAAGTCTGAAGAACACTTTTCCATTGTATTTCAAAGTGCTTCATTTAGAAGAGAGCAGGCACACCATCAGGGGTGGTAGCTTCATGCTGTGAGAAAGCATTTCACTGGTAGTTACTGGGAAAGTGCTTTTAAGGAAAGTGAGAGCAACCAATAATGCCAGCAAAAGTCAGAAAACCCTGCTACAGACTTTCGAAAATATATATACAGTCAGGGAGTTCGTGCTCTCTTGTGCTTGTCACACAAAAGCAGGCGAGCAAATCGTGGAACCAGAGTCTGCAGCTGCTTTAGACAAGCTCCACGTTCAGTATAACCGAGCTCAGGTGAGTCTCAGAGGAAGAACGGAGAAGCTGTAACCATTGTTACTGAGAATGACATCAAGAGAGGCAAAAACTAAATGTGATTGAGATACTGGAAATTCTTTTAAGCCTGAAGTACCGCTGACTTTGAGCAGGATGTGCTTAGACGGGTTTCACTACTGCAAATATGTTATTTCATCAGAGCCTCAACAGTCACGAGTTTATCAGAAGCTTTATCTGTTGACAAAGCCTGATAACGTATCGTCATGCGTCATGTTAAAGAGAATATTTTCTCTCAGTATAACGTGCTCAGTTTTAGGGGAAAATAAAGCTTCCTTTTATCCATTTTCAGGCCCAGCTTCCCTCTTTCTGCATCATGGCATCCTCTCTGGTGAATAAATTAATCAACTTTTTCTCAGTTGGAGGCATTTATCCATGAATTCACAAAAACATTTATCTTATGCCAAACTGGAAAAGGATGGGGAATTTTATAAGGCACTAAATTGATGTTTCAGTCCATCAGTGGAGATTTTTTTTTGTCCTGTGTCCTGATTGAAGTTGCAGTTGGCACCAATTAAAGGCTTGATGACCCTTTTATCCTCACATTGGATTTATTTGATGTCATTATTTCATAAACAATTTCAGACACTTGTGTGGGCGACAGAGGAAAAGGACTTTGTTGAAAACCATTTTAGGAAGTTGCCTTTCAATTATAAAATAACTGAGTCACGTCTCGCATCCAGATTCGTTATTACAGCTCCTGAATGATCACTCCCCTGAGAGGAAGGCTGTTCTTGTTTTTTCCTGCTTACGCTGGAACACAGTGTTCCTCGCATAATATCAAAGATAACTGCAAATTTAATTTACCGTCATGGCCCATAAAGCCGCACATTGGTGGAGATAACTATGGTCTTAAAAGTGCTATTACAGATGATGCTTTCGCAGATGGAGAATAACACTGAAGATTAGATTGCTAAATAACCAGTGCAAACATAATCTCGAGCTGTTTGTGAAGTTTTTCCTGTGTGCACCACTGCAGTGGGGTTTACATCAAACAATCAAGATGTGATTGAAGTGCAGACTTTCATCTTTAATTCAAGGAGCTTAACACAAATTTGGAATTGAATGTTCAGGAATTACAGACATTTTTATTTGCAGTTCTCCATTTTCAGAGGCTGAGCATTAACTAGATAAACTAAGATAATCTTAAACGTAAGGATTGTTTTTAATACTTAGATGAAAAATAATTTGCAGTCAATGACTTTCTGAAATTTAAAATCCATGGAAGTCACCAAATGCTCTGTTTCCTCTCTTGAGATTCTCTGCCAGACTTTCAGTTTGCTTGTTTGTGAGTCTCTCTCTGCCTCTTCAGGAACTGAAAACCTCACTCTGTTGGACTGAGATCTCGGCTTGGCCATTGAGAAATATCCCATTGCTTTGAGAAACTCTTTGATTGCTTTTGCAGTTTGTTTTTGGTCATTGTCCTTTTGCACGGTGAAGCTCTGTCTGATCAGCTGACCAGTGCATTTCTCCTTTTTCAGGATGAACCACACTGTTGATTTGGTCACTCGAAAAGTTTCTGCTGTCTGTCTGAAAATTTTATTGGGGTTTTTCAACCTAATGATTAACTTCACTTGCACTGTCATCTCTTTGGTCCTCACATTTAGAATTACAGTGAAATTCTTTCTCATGGCTTCACCGGGTCATGAAACTGCTCATCAGCCAATTCTCCAACTGTTTTTAAGCATCTGAAAATGGAGAGCTCTGTAATTTTTAAAATGTTAACGCAATTTTCTTTGTAAGACTCCTTGAGTTAAAGTTGAAAGGTTATATATTCATTTGTCGGATTTAAAATCAGGTGATTGTGGTGATGTACAGATGTGTCTTTGTCCAACAAACTGTAACAAATTAAAACCTTACTTCTTTTTTTTTACAGTGAGGCTGATCAGAATTGAGTGAAATCAGTTTCACAAAAATATGCACGAGTTAAATAAACAGATGGTGAATTGACATGAAAAAGAGAAAAACATGTAAACCAACCATGTTTGTGGCTTTCTGTTGGGCAGTTAGACACAATTTCTTTTGAGAATCATTCCTGGATACGAATAAAATGTTCTAGTTGAAGGATTTTGAAGGTCATGTAGATATAATGTATCAGATAACTTTATTAATTTAGAATTTTTACAGGTAAACAAACTCCACAACTGATACTTAAGAAATGTTTCCACTTAATGGTGTTTCAAAAGCTTTCAGTGATGAAATCTCTCCATGATGAGGACCATGATTAGAAGCTGGACTTTCAAACATGTGACATGAGGTTGAAAGACCACTGCGTGTCCCCTGAGGTTAACAGTGTGAGATATACGGTACTGTGCAAAAGTCTTGGGCCACCCATGAGAAGTAGGTGCAGCAATTTATTTGAATATATGCAAACATGCATGGAAATACAGTTTATAAAGCAAAAACAGAGTTTGTACAGTTCTTATGTTGAACTCCGGGACCTGGGGAAGCCAATCCATTACTGATGGTGCTCTTTTGTGTGTGTTTTTTGAAGCTGTTGCCAGTCATAGCTTTCCAGATGGTATTACAAGATTGATGAAAATCTGATGAGGCTTTTCTGCATTCATAATTACATTAATTTTGTCAAGATCTCCATCAGATGAGTCTCTCCAGTGCTATGTCAGGTCTTTGCTGGATTTCCCCCCCTATTTGTTAAGGAGGTGACTTTCAGATACTGATCATCTGCTGTAGATGAAGTCTATCTGCAAGTTCTTCTTTTGTCCTCTTCTTGTCCAATTTCCTCCAATGTTTTAAGGATACGCTGCACACCATGGTGCCATGGTCTTTGGGAGTCACCTTGTTGGCGCAAAAATATTATTTTATGCCCGTCAGAGAAAAGAAATGGGAACAGCTTTGAAAGCTCTTCGGAAAGTTTGGAGAATTATTACTCAAGACCACTTTAAAGAATTAAGTAAGTCTGGAAGTATAAAGAAATTAGGTGGCTCAAGACTTTTACACTGTACTGCACTTGACCTTGAAACTGGAGTGTTCAGCAGGATCAGATTCTTCATCATGATGATGATAAAAAGTTGATGAACGCATTTTCAGGTTAAGTTAACATCAGCTTTAGTTTTCTGAAAAATTCATGGTGAAATCTGTTTCCCCTGTGAAATCTGTTTCCCCTGCAACACATATGATTAATATTTGTCCTTACGTTTGCATTTTTAAGCATTATGGTTCCTCTGAGCTCAAACTGTGTCTCTGTGATTTCAAACAACCACTGAATCCAGAGAGTCCATTATTTTCTACTTTGCACATTATTCTTTTGACATTATCTAAATCCTTTTTTTTTTTTTTAAGCATGCATGCTGCTCGCTTCATATCTGATGGTGTTACGATCCCTGTAGCTTTCTTCTGCAGCTGTGTTAATGTTTGTGTCCACCTGGGAAATAAACTTGTCACTTGTTATAAATCAGTAATCCAAGAGTGTGTGTGGACACTTACGGATGACACTTCCTCGAGTGGTTTTCATCAGCGGGACTGTGAAATTCCTCTCCGTACAGCACTTGAAGATGAATAGCCGAGCACGCGTGCTTTGTACCCTCTCGTTTTAGATGTTTTTCTGTGAACTGGCTCTGTAATAGAAAGGCCCACCAGGGTCTGAGTGGATGAACTGTAGCTGCTGTGTGTGTTGTTTTGCTCTCAATGAGTTGTGAAGTGAGTTCTTCTAAAGGAGCCTTTCAAATAACAGAGGACTTTTTTTGTGCTTAATAACAGTGCATAGTCTGAGTAAGGATCTTGAGTAGATAGCACTTGTGATTGTTGCTGTTCTCAGCTGGAAGACGCAGGCTCCCTTGGTGAACCGACGGCATCATCATAGCTCACAGAGAGCCTGCTGAATGAATCAGGCAAGTAATTATTGATGTAAGAAGCAGGGCTGGGAAATAATTACAACCACAGTGGCGCACAATGAAAACGGTGTGGTGGAGCTCGTGTGTACGTGTGTGTGTGGTATTTGTATGTCAGGAACTGTCTGTGAGTGGCTGAAGATAGTTTTCCGTTCAAAATTTAAAGGTTGCTAAAGGGCAAAAACGTGCAAGAGCCTTTGTGTGGCTGACTCGTTTACCTTGTCTTCGTGAGGCCGCAGGAGAGATTAACTTTCCCGAGATGTCACCAAACTCTTGTTCTCTTGTTTTATTTAATGTCACAGCACACACGTGTATTCACAAAACAATTCACAGCAGGACAGGAAATCAGACACAGAGGCGAGCATCAAACACTGAATGTGAATGCCAAAATGTCCTGGAGACGAGTTTCTCCGGCAGATTCCTGCGCGGTGGATAAATTAGCAGCAATAACACAAGAAAGTATTTCACACGTTAATCCTGATGAAACTGTAACAAGTCCTCATAATGGTCTCTGTGGGGAATTAAGACGCAAAGTACAAACAAATCATTTTGTAGATCATCTATTCAAACATCAAACAGCAGTGAAAAAAAAAAAAACAGGCCACAGGCTGATTGAACTATTTAACAATGGACATAACGCCCAAAGTCTCTTGTAGTATTTTTGCAAATAGTTTTTTTCACAGAAGTGCATAACAAAAATAAAACATACACACGGGTGCTGCATTAGAGGAAAGACATGAGCCTTTGACTCCTCCAGTAAAAGGAACTGGTTGGCTCTGTGATGCTATGGGGGGGGCAATTTGGCCCACTGCTCCCACTTGCAGCCGGTAAGGATTATTCACCTTTATTCTTTTGTTAAACGAGGTTATGCTATCTTCAAGGTTGACAAGGACCCACCAAAATTGCAGATGAATATGAAAATGATGTGAGTCATGCACTGTGAATTTTCCAGTCACTAGATTTCAACCAAAGCTCTCAGAGAAGCAAGCCTAACTACTCTGTAACCTTGAAGCACCTCTGGACACACTTCGGGGGGAGTTATTATAAAGCCCAGGTTAAATTAATTAATTCATCACCCCATAAGACCTGTTGCACTACCTTCTTATGGTCTTGTGTAATTTGGCATACCTCAGCCTTCCCTCGCTGCATTCCTTTCTTAAGAATATCTTATTTGCTTCAGCTGAAGAAATGGGAACACATGATGTGTTTTTGCAACAGGCTGCTAGTAACAAAGTGCTAAAGATACAATTTAAACTAGTTCTTTGCTAATTGTCTGTTAGGTATAGACACAACATTGGTTTATTCCTTGAGTTAGATGTGTTTTTATGCTCGAGTGATTCACAGGTCAGTGTTAAGCGGCTTAAAGATAACAAACAAACACTCCTCTGAAAATGGTCAGGTTCAAGGACTCTACTGAAAATGAATGAGAAGCAGACAACTCCAAATAAAAATTATGAAAGAATTTTTAAAGCTTAAGTTAATTAACTCAAATTTGAATGGTTACCAGTGCACAGGAACTACATATATAGAATTACCAGTATTAAACCTATTTAAAATGGTTAAAAGGCTAACTTTGGCTCATAAAAGTTTTAAAGACCTTTTTTCCCATAAAAAATGATACTTCTACTACAATCTTTGCTGTTGCAGAATTTGCTGATAAATTTCAAGTCAGGATTTGCTTAAAAAGTCTCTGTTTGAGTCAGATTTTAGACTGATTTATTAGTTGGTACTCATGATTATGTTCCAGAGACCTTGAGAATCAATGACAGAGCTCCTGCTTGAACAGAGTGGCCTAATGCCTTACTTAAACACTTTATTTCTTCTTTTAATATGTCACGCACGACACCAAAGAAATATGGCATACAGAGTTGAATTACAAAGCAAACATTCAACATTTGGCAGAATATTCGTAGTGGCTTTCTTGCTAACATTTAGATGATGTGCGTTCTATTTATGAGACTACAATCAGCGGCCGTTTAGCCTAGCTTAGCACAAAGACTGGGGAGAGATGGAAACAGCTAGACTGGTTTAGCACAGAAAGTGACCAAATTCACCTTCCAGCACCCCTGAAGCACACACAATAAAAATACATTTAACTGTGTTTCCAAAAATGTCAGGCTATTCTCTTGCTCTGAATAAATCACATATTAATGTCTTTATGTATCATAACCATGCTGGGCGGTGCTTCCTCCACTCTCCTTCCCCTCAGGGACAGAGAGAAAACATGCTGCACTGCATGAGAAATTCTCAGGAGAAGCTCCTTTAGGCCAGTTCTGTACTCTTTTCTGATCAGGCAGTAAAGGACTGGGTTCAGACAGCTGTTAGCATGAGCCAGGCACACAGTCAGGGGGAACGCATAGGCCTGGGTGTTGTAGAAGGCTTTGCTGAAGGGCACCAAGTCAAATTTGATCAGCACCCCCCACAAGGTGAGGGCCTGGTTGGGCAGCCAGCAGATGAAAAAGGAGAGAACTACGATAGTGACGGAGCGGGTCACTTTGGATCGGCGGCGGTGGCGGCCTCTCTCACACTCAGATTTCTCGGTGGCACTCCCGGTTACCATGCTGCACACAATGCGCCGGCTCAGGATAAACCTCAGCAGGAGGAGATAGCACACAGAGATGATAATAAGGGGAACCACAAAACCCAGAAGGACCTTCTGTGTTTGATAGAGTCCTAGCAGGACTTGGGGGTCCCAGTGACCGGAGTCGGAGTCAGAGAAGCGAACCAAGCAGAGCTCGTCATCTGCAGAAACCTGGAAACATAAATAGGGAGATCAGAGGATCCTTATCCAAAACACAGAGCATGCACTGTAGGCAGACTAGTTGTTGAGTACTGATTCAACAAACCTGGACAGTGGTGGAGTAGAAAGCATGAGGCAGTGTGGCCACCAGAGACACCACCCAAATGGCTGAGCTGGCCCACTTGGCCCGAGTGGTGGCGCTCCTTGGGCTCTCCATCTTCAGAGCAGTAACCAGGGAGCGGTAGCGTGTCACGCTCATGGCGGTGAGAAAGAAGACACTGGCGTACATGTTCATGGTGGTGACCGAGCTCACGATCTTGCACATGATCTGCCCAAAGGGCCAGCGGAAGTCCAGCAGCGTGTCCACGGCCCAGAAGGGCAAGGTGAGGACGAACTGGAGGTCTGTGAGAGCCAAGCTCATCACAAAGCAGTCAATGGAGGAGTGGTGGTATCCACGGCGACGGGAGTGAAGCAAGAAGAGTGCCAGGAGGTTACCCACGAGCCCCAGAACACATACAACCAGATAAACCAGGGCAATGACAACTCGTACCTGTCACACACACACACACACATACATGTTTTGTGCTTGAAGGGTGTTTTCAGTAAACATAACTGAAAAAAAATCGGAGACTTTTCCAACCTGATAATTTAAAGGATGGTGTGGCCCACAGCAGATTATTTGCATTTAAAGTTAGAGCCTATATGAGCAGAACTAAAACCAAGAGATATAAACAAAGACTGTATATAAAAGATAGCTTCTGGGTGTAAAAAACGTGGAAGTGTATTCAACCTGCGTTCTAATGCCTGGTCTATGGGGGGAAAGTCACACCCTCGGCAAAGCTTTTCTGTTGAGTCTATTTTTTGTCTCAAATGCTAGTTTTAAGATCACTATATGCAAATAATATTTATTTTATAATTATTTCAAGTCCAAAAAGATGACAAAGCAGATTATTCTTTAGGGTGGGCGTCCTTTCAAAAAGCTCAGATGACACTTTGTGAAAACATTCGGCTCCAGACTTACCAAACCAATGAGTGGCATGGTGGCAATGTCATCTTTTATATACAGTTTATGCGTACAGAGTGCTGCAATAATAAATGGTAAGATATTTTAAGCTGAAACAGATTCTGAAGATGTGTGACTTGGTTTTTTTTTTTTTTTAAATGGTATAACCTTTAATGTCAGAATAAAGAAACAACATTATCTCCAAGATTCATGCACAATTACCGTTTCATTTTTTATTAATCTGATCCAACTGGACTTGTAGAAAAAAAAAAAGAAGAAGATAAGCAAACCTACTGCCAGATTGGCGCTGTCTCCGTGCAGATCCAACGAGGACTCCTGAGAGAGTATGTGAAGCCAGCAGTTTAACGAGAGGTTAAAAGAGGAGGCTGCTCCCGTAGGGCTGACCAGTTCGGAGATTTTGCGCTCATCCTCTTCCCCTCCGCACAGCCCTGTCAGAGCTCCAGAGGAGCTGCTGTTGTTGACCTGCATGGCTCGGCTGCAGGCGGGGAAGGGAAAAGAGGGCGAGCTACTTCGCAAAACTATCCACTTCTTCCACCGGGATAACTTCGAGATCGCAGGTGCGCAGGTGCAGCTTCAAAAATCCCCATCTCTTTCTCCTCATGCATTTAGTATGAAAAGAGATCAGAGCTCCAAAATGCGCGTTTTTTCTTCTTCTTTTTTTGCTTGAATCTTGTGTTTGTTTGTGGTTTCCAGTCGGAAATGTCTGAGATATTGAAAAAACAAAAGAAAGAGCTGATTAATCCGCATCCACCTACTTTGGCGCGTTCAGGCCGAAGTCTGACATGATGCAGTTGCCTCTTCTGTCAGCATCCTCGCACTGGAGCCTTTTATACTCGCCCAGCTTCTCGTTTCACCGCATGATGGCGCTCTGTCGGTGCACACACGGACTCCCCAGTGTTGATATATTATTGTCGTTATTAAAGCAGATGCCCCACTAACCAAGTTTCAGATGTCAGTACTCTTGGCTGAGCTTCATTCATATCCCCCCCGCACCCACCCCTTTTTGATGTAATCCAGATTTAACTTTAATTTTTAAAGATAAATTGATCATATTTTTATAGATTTTCTTGCCTTCAAGGGTTTTTCAGTGTTCATTTCAATATTAGAAAATCAGAAAGCTTTCAGTCTTTTTGATGCTGTTAGTGGAAGAGCTGTGTGCGTGCATGTGTGTGTGTGTGTGCACTTGTGATTTGCATGTCTTATAGGTCACTGTTGGTATTTGCAAAGTGTGTCGCTGGGATCTAAACTGAGTGCGTTTGAGAGAAAAAACATAGTGCAGCAAACATTTTCTCCAGCACCTTCATATTAAAACAGTCTGTAACTTTAAAAAGAAGAGATCTCAACATCTTAACCTCAACCAGTTTGCTCCAAGTGCTATTAAATAATTGATCCTTGCCTCTAAAACTTAGTAAAAGGGGGCAAATATAAGAGCAGCTGGGACATTTTGAAGAAAGTGTATCCTTTCCTTTTGGTTTTTTTTCCTGTTTTCACAAGCAGTCAATCACAAATTCAGATGTTGATAAATCATATTTTGTACACAGTGCTGACATGGAAAGAAATGCAGATGTGGTTGAAGTCTGACCCACCAAATCTCCCTCTTGAAGCCGCTTGTTGTCATTCTGCTGAGGCTTTCGAAGATGCTTAAAAATTCAGCTTTCATTTAAAAATAAATGGATGGGGAGATTCTGACACTGTTGGGCTTTTCTGACGTCTTTTCGACTATAGTCCAAATAAGTGCAAGTAAAGCTGAGGCAAACTTTGGTTTGTGTGTGTAGGGATGTGAATATTTCTGTCTGATCAAGGTGAAAACACTTTACACTGACTGTGTTACAATGTGAATTTGTGCCCAGACACAGTTATAAAAACAAGCTCTTCTTTAGTAATACATACAGTTTTTCAAATACAAATTCTTGGCCTGATCGAGGGCATTTTGTCAATGTCATTCTTTGGTGGAGAGGATGATTTGAATTCACGCTCTAAATGCCTTCCTCAGAGCTGCTGCAATGCAAAGAATATGATGGCAGTGGAAGAAATAAATAATAATAATAAACCTCTAGATTAAATTAAATTTAGTTCAAAGGAGAGAAAAATCAAATATATATTAAATGCCCCAAGAATTTAGCCGGCTAAAGTTTAAACAGTAAATATATGCAAGGTTGCGCAGGGATAAGAATTAAAGAAAAGACACTGAACAAACTCACTGAAAAGGGTGAAGGAGTTCAGGCTGCTGAGCAAAATCAGCCTCGTCTGCTTTCATGTTTGTCACCATTAAGTTAGAATTATGTGCTCATGTTTGTGAGTGCAGGTTAATTATTCTGCAGCTATGCTCAGATGTTCACGAAACCCCATGCGGACAGCCTAACCCTCTAAAATTATCTGAGCAATCTTCTCCTCCTGCAACCTCTTTTCTCCCTTGGGTAGCAGCACCTCTGCTCAGCTCTGAGATCCTGATTGAATTTCCACCTACATCTTTAACTCTTTATCATTACAACACACTGCCTAACCTGCCTCATCAATAATTCATTTCCGACTCCTAGCCGGTGTGTGCGTATAGTGAACCCGTAGTTTTGAGCTTGGTTTGCAGAAATATTTATTTATTTATTTCGGTTATTCCACATTCTCTGCTCAGCGAGAGCTCTCAGGGAGAAAGGCTCGATGCACGGCTGCCAGGAGATTAAAAAAACTGTGAGATGATAAACCCACATTTCCACAACGCAGCTCCACCGACAAAGACAAAAAAAAAAAAAATCAACTGTGTAAAAATATAAACCAAAAAGAAGTATTAAAATTATAGAGTTGAAAGCAGATTTGAATGCACAGCTGTGCTTTGACGGAAATGCCAACAGTGTTTCTTTTAAAAGTATTGTGTAAGTATATGAGGCAGAAAACTGTAGCTGAGTGTGATGGGCATCAATTTTGCAGATATTTGATTGAAAGTATAAAGTACTGTGGAGAAATTATAGTGATATTATATATATTTTTTGTATATGTTCTTTTTTTTTAAATGGAAGTTTATGGACATATTGCTAAACTGTAATTGGTAAAAGTCAATAACTGGTTAAAAAATATGGAAAAAAACATCCATAAAAATGAATACGGATAAATAATTTATTGTAAAATGGTACATTGTACTATATTTCATTGATGCTTTTTGGGGGGTTGTTTTTCTGCTTCAAAATTGCATTTATTGTATAATTACAAATTTGTCAAGATGTTTCACGCTCACCTACAGAGACAGATTTCATAGTTAAGAACAAAAAACAAAAAATAAACTTTCTGATAGAGGTACTGCACTATGGACCAGGCTATAAAACAGCTCATCCCCCACACAGTACTGAACAATACTGTGTAAGTACTACAGTACAATGGGGTCGATCAGGTAGCCAAGGTATCCCACCTCAAGTTGCTCTCAGATCCTTCTGTTAGAAACTTTTACATCAACAACACTTACAGAGTCCTCTGTGCCTTCTTTATGTGAACATAATCCATAACATACTCATCATTTAAAAATAATCACAGTTCAATTCGTTTCTCTTTTCCTTTCCAACAGCCAGTTGTTACTTCTGACTTAAAATCTACTACTATTGTATTTTCAGATTAAATTGTTCGAGGTTTGCAGCTGTAGAACATTTAAGCTGCTTATCTCATTTCATCTCACCAGAAAAAAGGCACGTCACGTCGATCTGTAAACAGTCTTTAGTTACATTTCCACAATTACAGTAAGCAATATTTTTCTTTCTCAAAAATAATGATATGAAACTGAAACCCACTTTCCTCTGGTGTTTTGACAGCTGGCTGTGAACCTGAAGCTTTTATTTGCTCATTGAGTCATATTTGAAGACCCCGAATCATTTTTGCTTTCAAAATATTGTCTCATTATTTTTGCAAATCGGTTTTCCTCGACACAGGACACATGGTATCGCTGGAGGAAGGAAACAAAACAACAACAAAACTTTCAGGTCCAAAACTCCCTGGGGAAAATGTGAATTCACACCCGGCTGATCCTGCCAGTAGCAACCTGTCTCAAAGATTTAACCATCTAAGCCTCAGCACACACACACACACACACATACACACACACACACATGCACACACAGTGAAAAATGCAAATGCATCATTAAATTACTGCGCAGAGCTCCTACTGAATGCGCCACAGATCAAGGTATATATTCAAAGAAAATAATAAATCACAGTAGTGAGCGTGCATGTGTATTTAATGTGTTTGTATTTAACAGGCATCAGCTGCACAGGTATGATCCAGCATACGTGATCCAGCAGGTGCTTAAAGGCTTTCTATTCAGAGCAAAATGAAAAATGATTACATTCTCGTCAATGACCTCTTTACTGGCCTTTGTGAAAGTGCATTCCTGAAACACCTTTCAACTGGATGTTTATGTGCTGGAGCAGCCTCTCACCCAGCCTCTGTAGTGAAAAGCAGATGCAGAGAAGCTTTTAAACTACACCTGTTGGGGGCTGCACTCGCATCCAAACTCGCACCCCTGCGCTACGTTTTTCTTGTTAGAATAAATCAGTGAAGGTCCTTGTGCCTGTGATCTTGATGGCGAGAGAAGGGGACGTCTGCTTTGGGGAGATCTGTCCAGGGCCTAATCTTCTCTGTCAGATTGCGCAGGGCTTCAAAGCCCCTGGTAACGCAGAGGAGAGGAAGAGGAAGAGGAGGAGGTGGAGGAGGAGGAGGGATGTCTCGGGCATCATCCATCGACTGCAGGGAGCGGGACGGCACTGAGAGACAGAGATGCGGTTGAGAAGAGTGAGTGTGTGTGCATGAGTGAGTGTGCATGGACGAAAAAGAAAAAAAGAAAGCAAGATTGGCCATGCATGATGGCTACAGACCTTTGGTCTCTGCATAGTCTGCCTGACTGAGCCGGCTGTAAGGGTCTGGTCGAAGATTTGAAGAAATCAGCAGAGAGAAGGAGAGGAGCAAGACCTGGATGTAAATACAGACAGATGGACAAAAAGAGGTCAAGCATAGAAAACACAGATCAGAAAGAAGAAACTGAGTAGGTTGTTACACACACAACTACATAACATTTTGCACAACGGGTGCTTCTCTGACTCATTTAAATATTCAAAGCATTCACAGCCGCAGTCCTGCCGGTACAAACACTCGCGCTCCTCGATGTGCTTATGAACTTTTAATGTTTACTGTATTTCTTTGTTACAATTATGACTGCCTGAAAAATTACATAATGCTCTATCTCACCAGGATGCAGGTTGCTTTCTGTCTTGTTTTGCTGGGGCCATTAGGAAGGAGAGCCTGTAGCTGGCTTAGCTGCTCCAGCAGAGCACTGCAACACAAATCCAGACAGAAAGATGAAAGAGGCTGTGCAAAAGTTTGACATAAGGGGTCTCATCATTTCCAGCATCTGTGATCACTCTCGCAAAAGAGAGAGAGAGAGAGAACGATAAATTGAAGGAAGAGTGTGTGTGTGTGTGTGTGTGTGTGTGGAGCCTTCACACATTTTGTTTTTACAAGCAGCAGTCTGCCAGCGTCAGGGAAAAAAGAATAAAAAAAAATCAGGACAGTGAAATTGCCGAGTGAAAAGAAAGAAAAGTTGGAAAAGCTGTGTGAAGATTTGGAATGGTATGCACTTTGTATTCTGGTAATTTTACTCTCAGGCTCTTCAGTCCCGAATCTTTAACAGGCAGAACGGTTTGGCCATTTTCAGCCGTGACTCAGTTTCATGAAAGCGGTGTCACAAAAGATGTCGTGGAGATTTATTTTGTGCAGCTTGCTCTGTACAAGCCCCGCGTCCAGGTTTGATTAATCCTGCTGCCTTATCTGTTCAACCGGTAGGGACTTTGATGGGAAACAAATGCAATTATGCCGTGTTTTCATATGGCTGCACCTCCTCAGTCTGGCCATTGTTAAATGTACGACACCCGGATGTTCTGACTATATATGGTCAATCTTAATTTTTTCTGTCATCCTATATTTCTGCTTTTAGGCTTCATGAAACAGGCCTTATGGTGTCATAGCCTTGAGATGAAGTGGTTTAGGCCATCAAGAAAATACTAAATACTACCAGACATAATCCCACTAATGAAAACACAGTAGCTAAATAACTGAAACAGGGAAATAAACTGAAAAACCGAGACATCTGTGGTGCTATTTTTACAGGAGCAATTGCTGCAGAGCTAAAATAGCCATTCTCTAAAATCTAACAGTGACCATTCGATTATGCCAGAGCTCTGCAGCTGTGCCCTGACTGTGCCTGAGCCAGGATATAGCTTCCAAAGCTTCAGAGACTTGAACTTTTCCAGACCATATGCTGAAGTGTAGTGCACTGGGCTGTAGTCATGGTTACTCTTTGCTTTTCATTGCAACTTTCAAAAGCAAGTCCTGGATGTTGTCACAGGTAAAGCTAATCAGGTGTGTTATGTTCTTTACTGTATTTTCTGGACTTTGAACTTTAAGCTCTCCATCATTGTACAAAACACTGAGTCGTCCAGGCATCTAATGCCAATAATCATCAGGTTAAACTTGTTGCCTCACTTAAGGACTCACTTGTTGGTCTCCTCCAGCTGCTGGATCTTTCTCTGCAACTCGAGGTTGTGAGCACCACATGCAGACATCCTACAGAAAGAGGAGGAGGAGAAAGAGGACAGAATCGTATTAAAAAATATATCGTTTTATGATGTTGCCTCGCCTGCCCTTCATTTCTCTCTCTGCCAATATCAGCCTGCTGACTGTTATCGCAAACCCCATTCTGTCATCCAGGGACTCCACCCCCTTTCTTCTTCTGGTGTCTCTCTTGTTCGGTTCAGTCACTGTGAATCCATTATGCCTTCGACTGATAATGACACCCTGTTGATACGCTCCGCTTGAATCTGGTTTAATTATCAACGAATGCTGACTCTGGGAGAGACAATCTCACTCTGCCATGAAACTTTTGTTATCAGGAGACAGTAGAGCTCAAGCTTGATTGAGATGTTGATAGCATGTAATTAGATATATAAACCTCCTGTGTTACATCAGTAAGACATTTTCATTAGTACGCAAAACACACAGACAGTTTTCAGTTTTGTGTTTGGCCATTTTTAAAGCTCAAACTGTGTACTGGCTTTATCCCACCCGCTACACCCGTGGTCCAAAACACCTCCATTCATTCTCAATCGACTCTTTTATTCTGATACAGATCAGTAATGGCAGGTTTTAAAAGAGTCCAGCAGTGCGAGGGAGTCAATCTCAAGAACCACATCAGACTGAAACAAGTTCTAAAAATACCCCCAAGAGAAGCTGATGAATGATAAACCTAGGGGGATTTGACAAACAAAGGAATTTGGGGAACATTGCTGCATTGCGTTTCTTTGAGGCGAGTCAAATTACATGCTCGACCACGCAGCGCTGTTTGTGGAGTTGTGATGTGGTTGAAGCGCCAGCATGTGGGAGGTAGGTGGGATTAATAAATTTGGTGACAAAGGCTTGCTGGCTGTGTGGTGAGGCTGATTCCGAGCAGCCTCGAGGTAGAGAAGGAGGAGGAAGACTGACGCGATTCTGAGAAAACCTGCTTGCTGTTCTGGGTTGTGGCATCGTGTTTAGGAATAATCCATTCTCTCTCCTGACTACATCTGTGAGTTTGCGTCTATGCACAATGAGAAAGTGGTCCAGATCGACCGTAAGTGTTTTGGTGCCCCACAGTGGAGCAGTTATCACAGTATGGTGGGTATTCTGAGTTTCTTTACAATGTTCAATGAATGTAGAAACTTTCAGGTCTTTGACTATACTGAACACCGATTTTTTTTCTCATAAACAATATTAAGATCTCTAAGAGGCCTTAAAATGAGTATATACAACCTCAGATAAACTGCAAACCGTGACATATTATACTATGTCAATAAAAACGAAGTCAAAGTGCAGAAGAAGAGCGTTAAAAATTAGCCGCTGCTAATGAAATGCACTTGACTAACAGATCGTCAAGACGATTTGCTAGTTTGCAGGTCTGGAGCATTCAGGTAGGCGTTATCACAAATCCAAGCAGGAAAGACATCAGCAACGATCTTAGAAAAGCAATTGGGGTTATCAGGCCACTCAGAAAATGTTTTCATTCTACAGTGAAAAAGATTATTCACAAGTGGAAAGCAACAGATGCCAATCTCCCCAGGAGTGGACATCCCAGAAAATTCACCTCAGTCAGACCATCCAATCCTTACACAAAATCTAAGAGCTACATCTCAGACTCTACAGCCTTCAGTGAGCATGTTAAATGTTAAAATTCATGACAGTACAATTAGAAAAAGGCTGAACAAGTGTGGCTTGTTTAGAAGGGTTTCATCTAAAACAAAAAACAACCCCCACAAAACTTCTGGAACAATGTCCTTTAGAAGGATTAGACAAAAATTGAGGTGTTTTGGTCATAATGGACGGTGCCAAGTTTGGAGACAGCCAAACACAGTGTATCAGCACAAACACCCCCCCACCAGCTGTCAAGCACGGTGGTGATGGTGGTGGTGGTGGTGTTGGGGTGGCAG